ACATATGTATATATATATATATATATATATATATATATATATATATATTAATCAAAAGGGCAGAAATGTTTCAGTCCATTATTCGTATGCATTCTGATTTAACACCACAACTGTTTTTCACTAGTGCAACAGTTCTGGTTTTGATATGTGTAAGGGGTAATATGAATTCGGAGGAAAGAAGATGGAGGAAAACTATAAATAATAAAAAAAGATAGAAAAATGAATATAAAACCTTGACTGGCTGGAACCATAGCAACAAAAAAGGGCTGCCTATTTTTGATATTAGAACATTTCTTATACGAGCATTTTTTAAGTATATGTAAGTTGATATGTAGTAAATATTTCGCATCCCCAGATAGTTATTCGCTTTTGCATTTTTATGTAAATGGAAAGACGCATAATTGTCAAGGGACTGTCGGTGTATGTGCTCAAGTTTTTATACGTTTTTGCTTGTATGCAAATGCAAAAACGCATATTGGCAAAAATCTGTGTATGTCTGTGTGCTCGCACTTTTTGTCATCCACTTTCAACTCGAGAACCAGAAATGGTAGAAGCTGAAATTTCGGGTATGTCCCTGCCACCTATGTGACCCTCCCGTTTTGATATTATCAGTACCGCGTACGGCACCTTAAAAAAATATGTAAATTTTTTGGCGGGAAAGCGACTTCGGGAACAAGGCAAAGTAGGGAGCTAAAACTTTACAGGGGTATTCTCTGTGCATGCATGGGCCAAAGATTTCAAATTTAGTCCCCAGGTTTGCGAGGCTCTTATATACTGGCAGTTGGAAGTTTTGGCGGGAAAATTGCTAACTCGACAACCAGAAAAGCTGGAAGGCTGAAATTTTAGGGGAGTGTTCCCTGTCCAAGTACAACTTAAATTCTTAAAATTCAGCTTCCAGTTATGCGCGGTTCTCACGTATGGACACGTAAAGTTTTGGCAGGTAAATTGCTCACCGAACAGTTAGGTTACTGTCAAGGAACGACCGTTAAACGGAAACTGTTCATTCCCTTTATGTAAGATTTACGATGGTTTAAGCTAATGAGCGTACAAGATAAGTGCAAAGCAACAACCATTCATGCAGTTGACGACTCAGTTCAAGTCTAATGCAAAAACGCATGATCCCACCGACAAGTCTGGAGCACTCCAGCCTGACACATTTGTATTCAAGTCATAAACCGCTGAAGCTGCGGGACTGGAATTTCATGAGATTATTCTTAGACCAAGTGCAAACTCGACAACACAAATCATGGTCCATATAATCGTGGGTCTTACTTGCGAACGTCCGGAAAAGCACAAATTTTTTAGCGGGAAAACGATTTAGGGAATCAGATAGGTTAGAAAACTAAAATTTCAAGTGAATATTTTCTGCCCATGTTTGAAGGGAAGATTTCGAATTCAGCAATCACACGCACTTGTGTCATGCGTACGGACACGTGGAAGTCGGAATCCAGACATTGTTTTCATAATGCCAACTCGAGTACTAGACTGAGCTGAATGTTCGAACTGCGAGAATATTTGTTGCCCACACGCGAGCATACCAAAAAAAAAAAATTCAGTGTACGTCTGTGTAATGCATTCCGACATGGTAAAGGTATTTGTGACAAAAAACGATTTCGCCAACCGGTCAAATTAGATAACTGAAATTTTACGGGAATATTATGTGCCAGTATGCCTCCCAAATATTCCAAATTTGGCTTTAAAACACTCCTTGATCTCTCATGCTGTGAAGCGCTAGTTTAGGACATTGTTGGCCTCCAGCTGACTCGTTGATCATGCTGTGCAGGAAGCAGTATTTTTCTAAAAATGTTTACTGTTCATGTGCGGGCTAGCAAATGTAAAATGAACTTCTGCTTGGGCAAGTGCCCTGCACATAGACGCAGCAGTGTTCAAATTACAGTGCCTCATTCACATCCGAGTACAGACAGTCTCACTGATGGAATCATGCAAAATGTGTGATGGTACTGGCAATTCTGGTGCAGGCTGTTACTGATTTTTGTATTGCAGGCTGAGCAGGGCGTCACATCGCTGTGCAGCACTGATCAGGGTCGAGTGTTGATGGCGTGGCATGGTGATGCAAACCATGTTGCAGTGAGCTATGTTGAAGCTCATTCTCGCCGATTCTGTGTTTTCGATCAGGACGGCGAACTCATCAGCTGTTTACAGCACACCGACACTGTTGAGGAAGCACTTGCCTACCGGTCTCTTTTATTCTCTCTGCACTGAGAAATGCACAGTTTTGCACAGTATGCGTCAAATGATTCATTCCTCACTTGAATTTACGCCCTTTCTGGCCACCGTTTAAACATGAAACAGAATTCGTTTTGCGCTAAATTTGCGCCTTTGGGTTCTCTTTTTTATAACAGTTCACATTTTTTTTGTGCTGTGTAACAGCATTACAAAACACATGTTGTCATGGGGTTGTCTGTATGTTTGTGTGTGTGCGTTTTACACATTCTGCT